CGAGCACTTGGCTCGAGTTTATATTTGTGCGATTGTCAGACTTCATGGCGTGCCAGTATCTATCATCTCTGACCGAGGTACGCAGTTTACATTACAGTTCCGGAGAGCAATACAGCATGAGTTGGGTACTCGGGTGGAGTTGAGCACAACATTTCACCCTTAAATGGATGGGCAGTCCGAGTGCACTATTCAGATTCTTGAAGATATGCTCTGTGCGTGTGTGATGGAGTTTGGAGGTACTTGGGATCAGTTCTTGCCACTTGCGGAGTTTGCCTACAACAAAAGTTATCAGTCCAGCATTGAGATAGTACCGTATAAGGCTCTGTATGGTAGGTGGTGTCGATCCCTAGCGGATTGGTTCGAGCCGGGCGAGGCTAGATTATTGGGCACAGACTTGGTTCAGGACGCCTTGGAGAAGGTTAAGGTGATTCAGGATAGACTTCACACAGCCTAGTCCCAACAGAAGATTTATACGGACCGAAAGGTTCGTAGTGTTTCATTTATGGTTGAAGAGTGGGTCTTGCTTCGGGCTTCGCCTATGAAGGGCGTTACGAGGTTCGAAAAGAGGGGCAAGCTGAGTTCAAGGTTTATTGGTCCCTTTGAGGTATTGCGGCGAGTTGGGGAGGTTGATTATGAGCTTGCCTTACCTTCCAGCCAAACAGGAGTTCATCTGGTATTTCATGTTTCTATGCTCCAGATATCACGGTGATCCATCTCACGTGTTGGACTTCAGCTCAATCCAGTTGGACAAGGATCTATCTTATGTTGTGGAGCCAGTGGCTATCTTGGACAGGCAAGTTTGAAAGCTGAGGTCAAAGAACATTGCATCAGTAAAGGTTCAGCGGCGGGGTCAGCCGATCGAGGAGGTAACTTCGGAGACCGAGTAGGATATGTGCATCCGTTATCCTCATCTTTTCAGGCACACTAGAAATTTTCCCTCCCTTTTTGTTTTCCTGTTGTGCGTTGGCTGAAGGGGATTTTTTTCTAATCCCTTTTTGCTTCTGGTTTGGTTTTATTTAGCAAACACTTTTCCCTCTCTTTCTTTTTGATTTTGGCCAGAGAAAGGGGTTTCGTCCCTTTATTCTTTTGTTTTTGTTAGCGTAGGGCTTTGCCCCTATTTCATCTTATACTGTAATTTTTTTTGTTGTTGCGATTGTTATTTTTGTTTTCTTGGGTAAATTACTTAATTACCCTTTTTTGTAATGAGGAGTATTACATTTATATTGTGATTGCAATTTATTTTTATATCACAAATAATATGTTGCAAACATAAGCGTCTCCACAGCCGTCTCACCTCACTGGTAATGCGGCTGATAAGGGGTATCTGGATCTGCACATGAAAAACATGTGCAGGGAAGGGCGTGAGTACACCACAATAGTACCCAGTAAGTGCCAAGCCTAACCTCGGTCGAGTAGTGACGAGATCAGGTCAGGGCCTTACTGGTATAAATATAATGAAATAAGACAAGAAGAAATATTATAGTAAAATAAATACAGGAATCTAACAGGAAAAAAAATTCAATGGAAGCCAATAGCTCAGAATACAGTAATAGCAACAGGGGATCTCCCGGGATACCGTCCCGTAGTCCCAAACGTAAATGTGCAGGGGGATCTCCCGGAATACCGTTTTGTAGTCCCAAAGTAAATGTGCTGTATAGGGGGATCTCCCGAAATACCGTTCCGTTGTCCCAAAGTAAAATGCAGCTCAACCAAATATAAATAACAGTCACAACAAGAAAATCTACAGCTTAGGTTAAGTTCAAATGAAAGAAAACTGGGTAATTTTACTAAACATGCTGCAAAGAGTTCAAATAGGCAGTTAAAACACGTATGCATGCTTTTCTAGTCTAAACAGGATAGTACATATGCTAGAGTAATTCAAAAAGGAGAAAACAAGTAATAACTTAGCAAAAATGGAGTTTTCCAACAAATAGCCAGTGTACGTACTTGTCACCTCACGTACACGACGCTCATATATCAATCAGTACCAAATCTTAAGGGGAGTTCCCCCACACAAGGTTAGACAAGCCACTTACCTCGAACCAAGCTCAAATCAATCTGTAATAATGCTCTTTCCACGAATATCCAGCTCCGAATAGCCCAAATCCAATAGCTTCCTCTGAAAATCTTTCAAATTATCACCCAAATCCGAGCTCTCAAAGTCAAATGGTGAAGAATGACATAAACCTCGATTTGGCCCCTTTTCTGCCAGTTAAACCGCACCTGCGGTTACTTACACGCATCTGCGGCTCCGCACCTTCGGAAAAACCATTGCAGGTGCAAAATCAACTTAAGTGGGCTGGGACCGCATCTGCGAGCACTAGGCTGCACCTACGAGCCTGCTCCTGCAGTCCCCAACCGCTTCTGCGGAGCCCTCACCGCACCTGCAGACCCAGCTGGACAAGGCCCATATCCGCTTCTGCGGTTCCATAGCTGCTTCTGCGGTTCCACAGCCGCTTCTGCTGCTCCGCACCTGTGGCCCAAAATGCACAGGTGCGGTTACACCAGATACAATAGCTTCAACCTTTTTCCTAAGTCTCAAACCAATCCATTAAGCACCCAAAACTCACCCGAGGCCCCTGCGACCTCAACCAAACATACCAATCAATCCCAAAACACCATTCGAACTTAGTCGAGCCCTCAAAACACATCAAACAACGCTAAAAGTACAAATCACCCTCCAATCCAAACTTAATGAACTTGAAACTTTAATTTTCCACAACCGATGCCGAAACCTATCAAACCACGTCCGATTGATCTCAAATTTCGTACACAAGTCATATTCAACCCTACGGACCTACTCTAACTTTCGGAATCAGATTCCGAACCCGATATTAAAAATTCCACTATCGGCCCAAAACCCCAAAAATTCGACTTTCATCATTTCAAGCCTAAATGAGCTACGGACCTCGAAAATACAATCTGAATACGACCCTAAGCCCAAAATCGCCCAACGGAGCTAACAGAATCGACAGAACTCCATTCCGGAGTCATTTTCATACAGTTCTGACTCCGGTCCAAATTCTAAGTCTTATGCCTCCGTTTTAGGAACTAAGTGTCACAATAGCAAAAATAGATACGGGGGAAGCAGTTAATAAGGGATCGGGACTCTAACTCTCAAAACGACCGGCCGGGTCGTTACATCTCCCCCTCTTAAAATAATCATTTGTCCTCGAACGAGCAAAGAGACATAACTAAAATGGTGCCTTGGGATGTATTTGATCTCCATAAAAAGGAAGATCATCCATTGATCACCTCGGCGGCTTTGAGAAAGACAATATTTGATATCTTTTGATCTCTTTGTGAATATTCCATGAATTTCTGTGGAATTCGAGATGCCTCTTCAGGGGAATATGTATCCCTTTATATAGGCATGAGTTAGGATTTAGGGTAGAGTAGCCTCCAAGCAATCCTAATAGAGAATTAGGATTTAGGGTAGAGTAGCCTCCAAGCAATCCTAATAGACTCCTAGGATTTCAAAAATCTTGTAATATCTTGAATTTAAGATTTAGCTTGATCCGTCAAAATTTCGATGTCTACAGCTCATAATAGAACATATGTACAGAGAAGTTGGTTTTATGAACGAGCTTACCAAACTTTGACCCGGGTCTAATACCATGTTGAATTGTAGTATTATCATATCATATAAAGTAAATTTTATTGTAAAACTCACTTTTATTTACTTAATTATATTTATTTTTAGAAAAATTTTTCCAATAGTTATATAGTATATATAAAAAAAAATTATAGGTATCAAACCAATCCAGACCCTTGCACCTATCAGGAGTAGACATGCAAGCATGATAATTTAATATTGTTTAGGTACTTGCAAGCAAAGCTAATCCCGCCCACAGTAAAAGTTGAGATTCTTGAATGATAATCTTATGTACCCTTTAAAAGAGATTAAAATAAGCATTTAAGTTAACAAATTCCAATGCAAAACTTAAAAGAGGAACTATTTTACTAACAAAACTTACTACTCTTGGACGACTAGGGATAACCATAATGAAACTGCGTCTTTTAGTTGTTATAATCAATTATTTGATTGATGATATTGGACAAGAAACTAGTAGTTCGAGGGCACTAAACCTAGCTTTACTTTATGTAAGCCAAGAAAACTCAAAGGCAACGTCCGTCTCCCATNCCCCCCCCAACCTTTTTACGTAAGAATTATAGTAAATATCTGGTCACTCGTCCAATCATTTAATCTAAAAATAGTTGGAGGATATATAATACATATGTAATCTATATATAATCATCGTATAATTTATGCACATCGGCTAGAAACATAATTAGCAAGCTATTTTTATAAAGATGCTTTTTCATAACCATCTATTATTTGGTGAAAGTAGCATGCGCTAGCTAATTTTTGGACCGATAATAAAAAAAATAGTCAGGGTTTGCAAAATTATTAAAAAATGGTCACAATTTTGATGAAATACGGAAAGTATGTTGGATTATGAAGCTCATGCGTATAAATTTCCAGCATATTATATTAGAACTCCAGCACATGGAAAGTTCCAGCATAATAAACTGGATTATGGAGCTCATGTGTATAAACTTTCAGCATATTATACTGGAACTCCAAAACATTATGTTGGAATATCTCATATGTAAAAAATTCGACTCCAATATATTATACTAGATTTTTAGGGTGTTTTTACCAGATTTGATCTTTACATGAAAAAGTGGCAAAATTTCGATTACTTTTGAAACTGTGACTATTTTTTAATTATCAATTGTAAATATGGCTATTTTTTATTTTTTATTTTTTTTCTATTATTTCGAACATAGTGGCTCAACTAATTCACATTTATACGGTATTGGTCCATTAAAAGGAAACACTCCCTACTAGAAGTTTTTTATTTTTAAGGCTCTAACCCGAGACTTCTTATTAAGGATCGACGGATTCCATTAATCCCACTATACTCCCTAGGGTGGTCCCTTTCCCATATATAATCTCCTCTTTAAAAGTCACGAGACCCCTCTAGATCTGCATATGTATGTCCAATTTCAAGAGAGAGATTTTGGCAGAAAAAACTGATAGAGAACTTTCAAACCCCACACCATTTCACACTTTTTTCTTCATCATCACTCAACTCAACTCAACTATAGCCTCCTGCCTCTAATATTTCAGTCCCAAACTGAAAGTCTTATTATAATTTGCCAAAGTTTCTTTACTCACTTTGTATTAGTTATCTATCCGAAAGTTTTTATCTTCACCTCATATTATTTTCTTTCCTTTCTGTCTTTCTCTGTCGGTTGTAAAATGTAGGGTTCACCCCACTACTATACTTCTTCTCTTATCTTCTACTTCCTTTAATTAAACCCTTTCAATTTTTTTTAACTTTTTATGTTTCTTATATTGTTTTTTTTTTTGTTTTATGTATTTTCAGGAGTCCAGAAAGAAACCCTCTTGACCTCAACAACTTACCTGATGACTTTTGTAGAGATGGTAAACAAGTTATTGAAGGTAGCTCTTCATTTAATGGTACTTCACTTTCTCCAAATTAAATAAATAGTACTCTTTTTGTTTTTTATATCTTTTTTCTGTCTTCTTGAGCCGAGAGCCTATCGGAAACGGTCTCTACTTCCTCGGATAAAGATAAGGTCTGTGTATACACTACTCTTTCCAGACCCTACTTGCGGAATTTTACTGGATTATTGTTGTTATTGTTGAGAGGAAAAAAAAACTTTTTTCTTTGCTACCTTCAATTTAGTTTGGGAAAGAAAAACAAAAGATGAAAATTTTCAACCTCTTTCCTCCAATTATTTTGCCTTTCAATTTTTTTTAAAAAGAGAAAACAAAAAATCTCATGCCAACTAGCTAGCTAGTTCTAGCTTGTTTTATCTATTACTAAAACTCTTACTATTTTCACTTTCATTTGATTTTATCTTTTAAACAGAAGCTCAAGAACATGCCTTCAAAACCTACAATTTAGTTTGAAAAAAATATGAAAAAAAAGTTCAAGCTTTATTTTTCCTCCCTTTTTTTGTTTTCTATAGTGAGAAAAAATGAAACCAAAAATTTCATGCAAGCTAGTAGCTGCTAGCTTTGTTTAATCTATTAACGCAGCTCTTATTTTTCACTTTCTTTTAGCAAGAAATAACTTTGTGTATTTATGTAGCAATTTTTTTTTCACTTTACATAGCAAAACCCTAGTAAAGAAATTGAAAATATATTTATTGTTGATTGGTCTCATCCAAATTTCTACAAATGGTACATTTGCAGCAGGGTATAGGAAAAAGAAAAACGGCGCTAAAGAAGGAAAAGAAGAGTGTGGTAAAGTCTATGAATGTAGGTTTTGTTCCCTCAAGTTCTGCAAATCTCAAGCTCTTGGGGGACATATGAACCGCCACCGTCAAGGCAAGTACTCACTTCGTTCGATAAATAAAAATAAGACGAGTTATCTGCTACGACGGGTAAAATAGTAAAGTTGATCTGATAATTTAAAAATTTATTACGCAACGATGTATACAACTTAAACTCATAAGAAAATCTTTGGCTTTTTTCTCTTTATTTCAACCGACAAACCAAAAAAGAAAGGCAAGATAGGTTTTGAGTAGTTTTAATTTATTTATTTATTTATTAATATTTTGGTTATAAATTTGAGGATAACAGTATTGGCCAATGATTTTGCAAAGAGGCGTAGTCATGTCAATCTTGTTTTCATAACAAAAGTAGTAACAGTTGGTTGGGGGGAATATATAATATTCTTGGTAAGGATTCATTCATTCATATATTCTATGATTTGATTTTGATTTTGATTTTGATTTTGATTATGATTTTTGTTGTGTTTTGAGTTGTGAACAGAGAGGGAGACAGAAACTCTGAACCGGGCTCGTCAGCTCGTCTTCAATAACGATAACCTAATTGCTCCTCCTCACTTAGGGTATGTACAGTCCTCTATTAAACTCTTTCCTTTTTTATGGTATTTTTTTAATATGGTTTTAAAGAAATGACACCTTTTTAATTTGATATTTTAAATTTAAAATTCTCCTCTGACCTCTAATAATATTATTATATATATTTTTTTACAAAAATATTATGGCACGTTTAAGATCACAAATTCGAATATAGTTATGTTATATGTTAAAATACACTTTGTTTCTTAAATTATGTTTCCTATCATATAGCATCATATAAAATGAAAAGAAAGAAAATACTTATGTTTTTGGCTCTCTTTGAATAAGCTTGATATACACTGTTATTTTAATGATTTTTTCTTAGGTAAATTTATTTTTGTATATTCCTTGAGCCGAGGGTCTATCGAAACAGCTTTTCTACCTTCACAAGGTAGGAGTAAGTTTTGCGTACATATTACCCTCCCCAAACCCCACTTGAGGGATTACACTGGGTTTGTTGTTTTATTATTGTTTATTTTTGTATACTGCTTAGTGTTGGCTTAAGATGAATTTAAACGGAGAAACATACTAATCAGTAAGAATTTATATAGCCGATTACTTTGGTACCAAGGGGGTGTTTATATTGTTTATTTTTTGGTGCAGTTGCCAGCCAATTCCTCATGTAGCTGGAGGTTATCATCATCAAGCAGGAAATATTGGTGATCCAACACTCTCATATAGACCACAACCACCACCAGTTTATCCAACAAGGTTATTTTCCGGCAACTCCACCACCCTCTTGCCACCAGGACAACCACCACAACCACCTCATCAACCACCCTACATGTACCCTTCTCCGCCGCGTCTCCTCTCCTTTTCTTCTCAATATCCAACCGGCCATTCAAACGATTACTTTGTTGGCCATGTTCTTTCGGGAAACTCACACTCATCAACTCCAAATAACTTCATGGGATCATCAACTTTACCTGATGGTAGTAACAATTACACTTGCATTGGTGCACCAATAGGACATGGACTTGGACTTGGCAGTGGAAGTAATAGAGGCACAGAAGGGCTTAATAATAATGGATTTTAGTACATCCTTTTCTGTTTCAGTTTATGTGAACATTTTCAGATTACGAGCGTCAAACTGACTAATTTTCTTGTGCCTTTTCCTTATGCTATGTTTAATTTTTTTTTTTTTTTTTTTTTTTT